GCCAAAATGAGTTTGTCTTTAAGCACTTCTTCCCTTTATCCAAATCAGGCTTTAACATGCATGGATTACATCATTTCATATCCAAAGCCATCATTGTTACCTAAAGCTGAAAGATAAACACAAAAAGGATTAAAAGCACAAGTTTAACTCAAAAACATAACCAAATCATAAGCTAGAAGGGTACAAAATGATATACAATTATGAACCGATCACAATGCATTGAGGGCGATACCCGTAACCGAGGTTGAACTATCCTTCCCTTGATTTTGGAGATTAGGCAATTGGCAGCAAATTTTGGTTCTTTGGAGTGGAATTGGATCCCTCGTACAGCCAATAGAGCTGCTCATGAGGCAGCAAGGATTGGAAGTGGAGCGGTGGCGCAAGTTAGCTGGTTCGACAGACCACCACCGTCTCTGGTCAACATTTTGGTATCAGATGGTCTTCCTGGACCTCCAGGTTTTTGAGTTTCTTTGTTTTGCTGTCAAGTTTAGATAATTTCCCCACCTAGCTGGCGTGTGGTTAGGTGGTATCTTTCTTGGCTTTGTTCTTGTCTGTTGTTTGCCCAGGGTATTTTCCCCCTGTTCTTGAATGAAGATGCATTTCGTCCAAAAAAAAAAATCATGACATATATATATATGAAGTGAATCTAATCATGATATATGTAAACACTAAAGTAAAGCTTAGCCATTCTCCCCGTCACTTCCTCCCCATCATATGCACATATTATATCCTTAGTTTTATATTGAAAAGGTTTGATCAAGTTGCAACCCCTCACATTGTTTAGCATCTTTTCTCGTCTTTTGTAGAGAAATCCCACACCCCTTTCATCAATTGCATCTGCTCAACTCCAACTTCTCCATAGCCATCTTGTGCATGCATTCCTCCATCTAACCACAGCCAATTAATCCATCAACAGGTAACCAACTTTAATATGCCAAATTCTTTCCAAATTTATCATATGAAACTTCAGACCAATAGCAATAGGCCAATTGATGGCCTTTGAATCATTTTCATATCTTAATTCATTTTTTCCTCTTTTATATATATATATATATATATATATGTGAATGAATTCTGCCATGCCATGCAAACATTGCCCCTTCCAGAAAAGTAAACTCAAAGTACTCATTCTATTCAGAGAGCAAATTCAATCGAGTGCAAGCAATTTAGTCTGTGTGTTTCCAAATGTTGTGTAAAACCACAGTGGTCAAAGTCTACTAACTTGTGCCTTTTGCATGCTGAGTGCCGCATGGATCAAATATTTGATTATGTTGTGGCTCAAAACCAATAACAATATTATATTGTTGAAAGCATTCTTATGGGTTGTAATTAATTGATGTGAATTTTCAACCACACTCAAACAGGTTGCAGAGACGGCGTTGTGCACTTGGAAAGAAGACAACGCCTATTTTGAATCGGATTCTTGAAAGAAAGAGAGAGGAAGAGAAGAAGAAGAAGAAGGAAAAATGAGAGAGAGAGAGAGAGAGAGATGGAGCAGACGAGGAGAGAAGAAAGAAAAGAGGAAGAGAGGAAGAAGACGGAAAAGGAAAAAGGAAAAAGAAAAAGAATAAAGAAAGAAAAAGAGAGAGGAAAAGGGAGAGAAGAAGAGAAAGGGGTTTCGGATGCGTTTTTTATATTTTGTTAGGTGCACTGTCCAACAAAAGTAATGCTTTTTATTTTATTGAGTATGCATTTTTTGTAAATATATATAATTATTTATTATTATTTTAATTACCGTGTTCTAACCGTGTTTTTTTTGAGATTTTCCGTGTGCTAATCTTCACTTTCTGCGTAGCTCAAGAGTAATCTCACTTGAGCTTCCTCTCCAAGAGCTGCTATATCGCAGAAATAGTAGAACACACGCCACCATGAAACCCGAGGTCTCAAGCTGTAACATCCTCTCACCGTCCTAGCTTGTTGTTTGCTGCACGGCTCTGTCTGGAGGATATCGTTGGACCGCTGCCCTTTAATTCTTTTTGGTTTGGTAAGGCTCCTCAGTAAGTTCATTCTTTCGGTAAGGCTTCTTCACTTCCTTGTCCTCTTTTTTCTTTGGACTCTCTTTTTTCTTGAGAATTTACTTTTTATTTTATGGCTTTGAAGTACAATTTTTACTCATTGATTGTATATAGGGAGTACAATAGCGGGGATTATCTTTTGTATCCCATTGAAACCTGTATTGGAGTATGGGTAGATTGATTGGTTGCCTTTGTGGCTATTGTAATCGAGTCTTTTGGCTTTTATCAATGATATATCTATATTCATTTATCTTTTGCAGCGAATTTCTTGGAACCAACCACGTACCAAGCAATGGCGTTGCCATCTTTTCCTTCAATTGAATCAGCTACTCAATGGAAGTATGATGTGTTTTTGAGTTTTAGAGGTGAAGACACCCGCAATGGTTTTACATCCCATTTATACCACGAGTTGCAGTGGCGATCAATTAAAACATTCAAGGACGACTCAAAGCTTGAAAAGGGCACCACTATTTCTCAAGAACTCTCGACAGCAATCGAACAATCGAGGTTTGCCATCATCATTCTCTCGCCAAACTATGCTTCTTCCTCATGGTGCTTGGATGAACTTACAAAAATTCTTGAATGCATGAAAGCGAGAGACACAATTCTCCCAATTTTTTATCATGTGGATCCGTCTCATGTTCGAAATCAAACGGGGACTTTCTTGGAAGCCTTCATTAAGCATGAAGAAAAGCTTAGGGAAGGCATAGAAAAGGTTAAACAGTGGAGGGCTGCTTTAACAAATGTGGCTAATCGCAATGGGTGGGATTCCAAGGATAAGTAAGCATTAATGAACAACTGGCTCATGTCTTTACAACACCAATAAATTTTTATGTTTCTTTTCAGTTCTGGCTTTTGATCCAACTAAATTTTATACTTATGACTGATATTATTCATCTGATCATATCTTCTTTGTAGGAGTGAAAGTGAACTTATTAAAGATGTTATCGAACACATATGGAATAAACTGCAACCTTCATTCCCCTTGTCATTAGGTTCCATAGAAAAGTTAGTTGGAACCGATTCTACACTGCAAGAACTTCGTTTGCTTTTAGATCTTGAGGCAAATGATGTTCGCTATATAGGGATTTGTGGGATGGGTGGGATGGGCAAGACAACCATTTCTAGGCTAGTGTATCAGAGAATTTCCCATACTTTTGAAGTTAGCAACTTTCTTGCAGATGTTAGAAAGTATGGTCAAAATGGTTTAGTCCATTTACAAAAACAACTTCTGTCCCATATATTGAAGAAACAAAATATAAAAATTTGGGATGTTTATAGTGGAAGCACTATGATAAAGAACTGTTTCTGTGACAAAAAGGTTCTTCTCATTCTTGATGATGTGGATCAATTAAATCAACTGGAAATGTTGGTCGGAAAGAAAGAGTGGTTTGGAACGGGGAGCAGAATCATCGTTACAACTAGAGATGAACGAGTGCTACTTGAACATGGTATAGAGAAATCATACAAGGTCAAGGGATTAAATAACATTAAAGCTCTTGAACTATTTAGTTGGAACGCCTTCAAGAAATATAGACCTGAAGAACAATATCTGGAACTGTCTAAGTGTTTCATTCAATATTCCAGGGGCCTTCCATTGGCTCTTAAAACTTTGGGGTCTTACTTATATAAAAGAGGTCTCGATGAATGGAGTAGCGCCTTGGATAAACTAGAGAAAGTTCCTAATGTAACAATTTTCCACACTCTCAAAATAAGTTATGATGGCCTTGATGAGATGGAGAAGAGAATGTTTCTTGATGTTGCATGTTTCCATAAGGGAAAGGAAAAGGGACAAGTAATTGAAATGCTAGACAGTCGTGGCTTCTGTGGAAGTATTGGGATACAAGTTCTTCATGAGAAATCCATCTTAACTATTGAGTATGGAAATGGTTTTGAACCCGACAAAGTGCAGATGCATGATTTGATGCAGGAAATGGCATGGGAAATTGTTCGTCAAGAGTCTTATGATGACATCGGTCGACGAAGTCGGTTATGGCTTCGCAACGACATTCTTCATGTACTCGCAAATAATACAGTAAGAAGTTTTGAAAAATACAAGCATGTGCATTCCTGTAGTTTCTTCTTAACACAGTATAAAACTTGATTATGGAATTCACTGGTCCTTTGTTCTTATGTATTAGGGAACAGAAGCAATTGAAGCCATGGTCTTATGCTTGCCTAAAGTAGAAGAGGTACACTGGAATCCTGAAGCCTTCTCTAAGATGAGCAAACTAAAGGTGCTCCAGTTTGATAATTTGATCTTTTCTCCAGGCCCCAAAACTCTTCCTAATTCCATAAGAATTTTGGAATGGAGATGCTATCCTTCCAAATTTCTCCCACCAAGTTTCCAACCGGAATTTCTTACTAAACTTAGTTTGCCTCGTAGCGAAATTGTTCAGCTTTGGAATGGAGTAAAGGTAAGATATAAAACATATGTCATCTTACAAATTATCATGTTAGTTATTTTTGAATAAAAAGCTAATTACTCTACCAATTTGTCATGTATTGTGCAGTACATAGGTAACTTGAAATCTTTAGATCTTTCTTTCTCTAGAAACCTCATCAGGACCCCAGATTTCACGGGTACTCCGAATCTTGAAACCTTTAACGTTATGGGTTGTACGAATTTAGTTGAGATTCACCCATCCATTTCAGTTCTCAAAAGGCTTAAAACTTTGAATTTGGGACATTGTGGAAGAGTAGAGAGTTTCCCAAGTCATGAGGTACTAACGAAATCTCTTCATCAATTTTTCCACCTTGCTTATGAAATATCTCAAAATCTTTCTCATCATTTTGTGGATCACCTCAACCATTGCAGATGCCAGGAGGAAAAAAGAAAAAACCATTGCAGGTTCTTCGTTTCGGCATATGCTGGAGAAAGAATCCTGAACCTTGGGGTGTGATGTTGCCTTCTCTAGATGGCTTGTGCTGTTTGGAGAGATTAGATCTAAGTGATTGTAATCTTTATGAAGGAGCGATCCCCGATGATATTGGCTATTTGTTCTCTCTGCGAGATTTAAATCTTAGCGGTAACAATTTTGTTATCCTTCCTTCAGGCATTACTCGGCTTTGTAATCTTAGGTTTCTTAACCTGAAGAGGTGTGAAAGGCTTCAAGAACTGCCAGATCTTCCATCAAACAGATGGTTACGCATAAATGCGGACGACTGTACTTGCTTAAAAATAGTACCAGTTGCATCAGAGTTTAGCACATATCTCACTCTACTGAGTAGGTTCAGTTCTATCAATTGCTTTGGCTTGGTTGACAATCTAGGCGGCATTAATATACTAGTTTCAATTCTAAGGCGATTCCTTGAGGCACTCTATCTAAGGCAATTTCTTGAGGCACGCATCTCTCTCTCTATTTCTCTATCTCTTTATGCATATACATACACACACACATATATATATATAATAATTGTTCTTCACGTTCAGTACAGGTACCTGGATTTCAATTCAAACTAGACATTGTAACTCCTGGAAATGTGATTCCTAAATGGTTCAATTATCAAAGAGTGGGACATTCGTTAATGCTGAAGGTACCTTCGCATTTAGAAGGCAAGAACAGGTTGGGAATTGTGTTATGTGCTGTTTTTGCAGATGAGCAAAATGCCCTTCTTGATGTATTCAATTCTTTCACAATTCAATGTTCGTCCTCCGCATTTGGCTCTGTTTATGGGCCTATTTTCGAAGTAGGCCATCTTGTGTCAGATCACATTTGGGTATCTTATGCTCCTCTTTCCCATTGGGATTATAGGAGACCAATTTCGATTCATTTCAAAGCACTTTATGGTTCACAGAGGAGACGCATGATACAAAGGTTGAGGAGGATCAAGAAATGCGGGGCCTTTTTGGTGAACCATGACATTGACTCTCACAAATCATCAGAAGGTGCACCTGCACCAGGTGCCATCCTCAAGAGAACACATGAACATGATGAAATATTGCCCCGCAAAAGATCCAGGGAAGCCTAATCATCTTGTGCTTGCTCTGCTCTTCTCCAGGGAAGATTCACATTTGTAGCACCTCGTCAAATCAAATGTATTGTTTTTCTGTTTCCATTCATTTAGCCATAAGTTAACTTTATTTGGTTCAAACTTCAAACCCGTAGTGTGGGATGTGCATGCTGCCGATAAAAGGAAGGCTCCAGAATATACTTGATTTGATTGATGATACCTTGTGTAAAACCACTATGTGGCTTGGAGGAAGACGACTTTACACCAGTTGTTTCTTTTGCCCGCTATTTCATCTTGGAGGCTGTTTCAGTACTTCTCAATCCTAGTTGCCAATCCACAGTTAGAGAGAGAGAGAGTTGAAAATGCACACTAATTTGGTTTGCTCTCTAAATCGTAAAGCCTCAACACTTGCTCTTTTATTGCATTTGAATATGCCGTCCAACAGCACGATAGGTGAGCGATGCTGGCAAGACAAATCCTAGCTTTATTGAGGCCATTGATTTCAAGGATTTCTTGATATCAATGACTAAATAGTTACAAGCACTTCCAATTTTCTAGCAGTGTTTATACACGGGAATTGTAGAAAGAATATGGACTGAGATTGTCATATGTGCATTGCACATGTTTGAGACTTTTGCTGAGTAACATTTCACTTCAAACTTGCGCTAAAAAGAACAGAACTGATTCCTGAAGCTAGTTCTGCTTCTGCATCCTATACAGTTTTGGTTCCATTCTTTTCAGTTGTGTAGCTTTTCAATGTATTAAACTTTTGAGCATATTGAATTGTTCTTGAGAAAGCTGTGTGCATATTTTTCTAGATAAATCATCAAGTTTTCCTTGTTTACTTGGTGATTTATCAAATCTTTTCTTCATTCATATTGCATTCATATGCATATCGGTGACTTATATTGTTGAGGGCACCAAGACCGTGGTGGTTGTTTTCCTCCGGCGAGCTTGAAGCAATCGTGACCAGTATTGCGTTCAACATAAGGAGTGTCGAAGATCATCCCGTGACAGAAGTTGAGTTACGAAGAAGTCGGTAAACATTATCTAGAATGTGTCTAGGATAAGTGTGTGAGTACTTCTTGTAATCATCGTTCTATAGTGGATTTGTGTTGGACTGAGGAGTCCCGTGGATTTTCCCCAGAGGTGGGGTTTTACCACGTAAAATAATTCTCTCTGTGTTCTTTTATTTTATTTCCAGCACGTTTCAGGATTGATAAACCATATCAATCCTGCTACCAAAGTTTATTTTTGTTTACTTGATTATAATTTTAAATTGGCTAATAAACCTCCCTCTAGGTATTTTTAGTCATCCTACAGGTATTCTCAGTTGCCCTGGAAAGGACACCAAGCAAAGGCTTTTACAGCAGCTGTATGGTCTTCAAGCCTGTGAAGCCACTGTGTTGGTGAATTTGAAGATGCCACTGATCTGTCCCATATATGGAGTAGGTTATCATTTCCTCCACTTGCTAATTGTTGGCCTGAGGCCGACCATTTAAGCCCACAAACCTCTTGTTCATGTCCTCTGTACGTCTCGACAATGTGCGATCTAATTCTTACATCATTATTAACTATACAACCATCCATTCCACCAGTTGTGAGAATGTGATTGTTCCATGCCAAGGAGCCTACTCGGGATCGGTGGCAACCTCTCAAGGTTCTCAGCTAAGGAAAGAAACATCACAACAAATCATGAATATTAGGAAAATTGGGGACCAGATAACATAGAATAGAAAGGGAGGAAAATGAAAAGTACAAGGATTAATGACAAGAAACCAAGCGCGATTGCAAGAACATTAGAGCTTCCCCAATCCAACAAATTCAGGTAGTAATCATCAACAAGGTCAGGAGCATCCAGTGTTCTATCTGAAGTCTGCATATATCATCAAATCCAAAGTAGTTAGTTAGAACACCACAACTTTGAAATAACAATTTAAGTGGAAGCAAATATTAATTCATCCATGAGATCAAAATCAAATGCATACGCACTTGAGGAATGTGTCTCCGCAGCTTTGCCGGTTTATCCTGTGGTAAAGAAGAGAACTCGCGCGGGAAGAGCTCTACAGGGGCAGGAGGCTTGTTCTTGAAAGCAAGTATTCGAGTCTAATTCATGTTCATGGCTTCTGCCAACTGCTTCCGATAGGCGTCTTTGGATGGGGAAGAGACCATAGCTGGGTTTTCCTTACCTTTCCTACCTTCAGTAAGCATGTAGTGCGCATAATCAAAATCCATCGCCGACCTATTTGGTATGAACCTGTCCAACTGGTAGCACATGACTCAAGCACATCAGAATATCAGTCAACTACAGAATACAAATCCCTTTTTATTCAAATTTCAAATCACTTTTCAAATTTTATTTATGATCAAATCAGAGCTAAAAATAGATGAACACATACATACATATATAAAAGGGTAACAAGATTAAAAAATGAAATTCAATTTAACATCAGATCACAAAATAGATTAACCCAAAACCCTATACATACATTACGTTTACAAGGATAACAAGAATAAGAAATGAAAGTCCAATGAATAACAAAAATCCAATTCAGAGTCAAATAGAAGCCCCAATTTCATTAATCAAATACAATTTAACATCAGATCACAAAATAGATGAACCCTAAACCCTATACATACAATACAAGCTACAAGGGTAACAAGATTCAGAAATGAAAATCCAATCAATAAAGAAAGTCCAATTTTTCAGCAATCGAAAAGATTGAACCCTAATAAAGATCAATTTGGTAAAAAAAGTAAAAAAAAACTTACATTTTCCCTAGAATTCCTTTTCTGAAGAAACTGTTCTTGAAGAGGGCACCGAGACCCTGACTTCAAGTTAGATGAAGAACTCATTGATCCTGCATCCATTTGGTTTAATACCACAACAGAATATATGTATGTATATATATATATATATAATGAAAAATGAAAACAATAAGAAAGAAGAAACAGAGAAAGAAATATCAAAATCCTGCAAATGGATTGATCAGCGTGCAAAACCAAAACCTGCAAAAGAGATTTAGATTCAAGAAACACAAAACCAAGTTATATATGAAATACGCAAAGAAAGAAAATTGGTCTCCGAGCGTTGTAAAGAGTTGTGTAATCAGAAAGAGGGGAGAGAGAGAGACTGTGAGTGGGTATAACCAAGTTGAATTTGTGGGTTTATATAATGATGAGATGAAGATGGGATGATTAGGGTTTTCAGAATGAATATTTCGGATTTGGGAAGACCTCCAACGGCTATATTTACATAGATTAGAGATAGAGCCGTCGTAATTTTATGTGACAAAAATGCCCCTCCATTGGTTCTGTTTTGGGTAGGTATAGTTGGACATGGGAATTGGGCTATCTGTTGGGCCTATTTTGGTGATGTTCAGGCTCTTTTTTGTTTTTTGGGCCGAAGCTCTAAATTACAACATGGTTTTTCTTTGTTTGAAATTAATATCTTGAATGTGGCATATATTTTTTTTTATACAAGCGATATTGAATGAGGGGTGACTCGAATGCAGTGATAAATATTCTTAACTACTTAACAATAGAATCGAAAAATATTTGGTACATTCTATACCAATATTAGATTAAATCATCCTTGGTAGTTCCAAAAAATTCGAGCTCCCAATAATTCTTGTTTTCACCAAACGTAAAAAGAACATTGGGATGGCATCCAATCAAATCAAAGATGGATCCAATAAAATCAACCAGAGGATGTTCGTTTTCACATTGCAGGTGTATGTTTTGTTGCCTATCTTTTATTTTGGGCCTAAAGTATGTGTATTATGGTTGAGCTTTTATTTTGTTTGGTTGTGCTTTTGTTTTTTGTTTTGTTTTTTGTATTGGGCATGTTTGTAACTTGTTATGTTAATGGAATATCTTTTCCTTCGACCAAAAAAAAAAAAATCTTTGCACGATTTCAAAGTCCTCGCAAGGCACAAAATAAATAATTTATATCTTGCTACGAAAAGCCCAATGTCATAAAATGTAACCCCAACCATGTAAAGCACAACTCAAACACATAGGAATAGCCGATCCATTTGCAGTATATTCAACACGAACATGCTCAATCAATCTTCATTGGATTGGAAATGAATCGATGGAACAAAATTTGGGTGGCAAAAAGTTTTTGGGAGCCACAAAAATTGTGCTTGCGGCGGCAGATAGTGTGGGATATGCTGCCATTGAAGGTAGGTTACAGAATATACTTGATTTGAAATTAGTATGCGGTTTGAAAGAAATCATTGTATGGTACTGAAATAGAATCACGTGATATAATTTGTTCAAAGAATCAAATCATCCCAGGGACCAGAGTTGGTGCTAGCATTTGTTACTTCACGGGTTCTTTGCACCCCTATGACTCTTTTGATGTCATCAAGCTTCACAGGCAGAGTGTTGTGTCAAAGGCTGCATTGCCCTAGCTATATCTAGCAACTGTTTAGGTGTTGGGTGGGGTCCTTCCTTTGATCTGCAACTCAGGCTTTCCTCAGATGCAAAGCTAAAGCATTATCATTTCATATGCACACACACACAAAAATTCCTCAATTTAATTTCTTCAATGGTGAAAAAGTGAAGGATTTATTTTATGCATTCATTTTGGAAAATACGATGATTAATATGTATAATTAATGGTTATGGGCAAGTTTATTGGACCAATATCTCTCTATTAAATTTCTCTGTTACATATTCACTGATCTTTTGGTCTTGGTATTGTCTTATATATATATAATTAATTTCTCTTTCTCTCAACCATGAAAACTGTTGTGCTTGTCCCTTCTTCAATTTGTTTTCAGGCAGTACATTTCTTTCACTTTGAATAAAGATAATTCAAATTAAAGCACAACCTTAAAAGCATCAATTTACTTAACATACAGAAAATTGGAAGCATCACCTTCAGGCATCATCCCAAATTAGGAATAACATCATGGACCACTCAAAGTGGAGAGAATCAAGTAATTAAAAGTAGGGAATTATTCTAATTTCTATTTTTTCTGTGTTTACTAACACATGGATATCAAAATTATTCCAATTCTAAATATTTTTGATAAAAAATTTCATGTTAAAATTTATAATCATACGGTCAAAACAAAGAATCAGATTAACTAGTGGGGAGTACGTAGTTGATTTAATTCAAATTGCTTAATTCCCTGATTCCTTAAATACAAGTGAGAGTCTAAACTACAAGGA